CCTTCCTTCCGAGGAGTGGCTGGTGGGTTTGAACCGCCAGCCTTCTGGTTAGCAGTCAAGTGCTTTAGCCACTATGCTACCAGAGCTCCCAAGATAAATACTAGGTAATATTAATACTTAAGAGTAGGTCTAAAGAAAAGTCAGTAAATGAGTGAGAAGGAATGGTCAGTGAGTTAGAAGAATCAAGAAAAATACTTTCAAGAAGAGGAAATGGTCAATAGCTTCATAAACATGGAAATATCCACAAAATAAGGACTAAAATGAAGCTTGAGTTTCACATTTTAGGTCATTAGTGATTTTAGTAGGTATAGTTTCAAAAGAAATGACTCTTACATCCATTCTTTTCTTTCCTTTTCTACTTTACCACCTAGTTCTTGCTCTCATTACCTCTAGCCTAAAATCCTAACTAGTCTTACCTTCGGGTACTGTGTTACTGTTGTTAGTTGCTGTCAAGTCAATAACCAACTCATGACAACCTCATACGTGCAGAGTAGAACTAACTACTCCATAGGGTTTTCAAGGCTGTGACCTTTTGGAAGTAGATTGCCATGCCTATCTTATGAGGTGCCTCTGGGTGAGTTCAAACTGCCAATCTTTTGGGTAGCAGTTAAGAGCTTAACAGTTTGCTCCATTCAGGGATTCCTTTAGCTATTGTGCAGTACCTTCCAACCTAGGAGGCTTATCCTCCAACACTGTATCAGACAATATTCTGTTGTGATCCTCAAGATTTTCACTGGCTAATTCTTAGAAGTAAACTGCCAGGCCTTTTTCTTCCTAGACTGTTTCAGTCTCAAAGTTCCACTAAAATATGTTCACTGTTGGTAACCTGCTGGTATTTGAAATACTGGTGGCATAGCTTCCAGCATCACAGCAACATGGAGGCCACCACAGCAAGGCAAAGTGACAAGATGGGTGGTGGGTTACAAACATATATACCCAAGAATTTCACTTGAAGCAATTTATCTCAGGGTTGTATTTACATGTGTTGAAATTATGGTTATACAAAGTTACTTAGTATAACACTGTATGACATAGTGGAAGATAGAAATTATTTAAATGTACACCAGTAGGGTAATTAGTGCAATAAATCATGACATATCCATTATTTACATATACAGCTATAAAACAGAAAGGGGAAGAAAAAAGAATCAGGCCTCCACATTTAATCAGAATCTTAAGATTTGGCAGAACAGAAAATGTCAAGTGTCAATATGGAAAAAAAAAAAAAAAGTTAAACAAGAGTAGGTTAAGTTAAAATAAACAGTAAAACCAAGGTTCAGGACAATGTATATTATACTATCATCTATATAAAAAAAATAGAAGTATATACATACATACACACACACACATGTATTTGCTTAGGTATAAATATACAGAATCTCTGAAATTATGCACAATAACCAGTAGTTACACGTTGGGGCTGGGGGTGAGAATCTGGTGGATGAGGAATAGCTATGGGAGGCATTATTTTTCACTGCATACTTTTTTATGCTTTTTGGTTTTGAATATAAATACGTATTATCGAGTTTAAAATTATGTATGTATGTATGTAAGGGTACAATTCTGTAATTCTACTCTAGCACTGAGTGTAATAAGTGTATTTTAAAAGGTTCAGTTGAGTTACTAAAGTTATAAACCAGAGTATGAATTTCAACTGTGCCAGAACCCATTCAATTCCAAAAATTAATGTTTCTGGTTATTAGGGAACTGTTATTATAATAAATATTTCAATCTATTCAGAAATAATATATGTTAAGTATATTTTTTAACTACAATGTGAATTACTTTGCTGATGAAGCTAAAAATCTAAGCCAAGTACCCAATTGTTCTTCTACAACAGACTGGAATTATTTTCCACAAATTGGCTAACATACAAAGCCTTTAATAAAGGGTTGAGAATTATAGCATTTACAGCATAAAGGAACCTTTTCATTTCAGACTTTCTCAAGGTAGTGCTATCTAACAGAAATGAGTTTATTGAATCCAGGTGTTCTGATTCTAGTGCCCTGCTTTTTCTATTACTCCATACTTCTTCCCACAATAGCTTACCTAGTACTCTCAGAGCTGTAAAGGGTTCTCAGGGCTAAATTCTGGAACCCAGAAAGTTCTGCCATAGACAAAAATAAACCTCACAGAAACAGGATAACCTTTCAGGATTTTATGAGATATACTTGGTAATGGGAAATTCTAATAATAAAAGGCCTGTAAGAATATGTTCAAACTATAATCACTATAATACACCATTCAAAAAGTTTGTTTTTGGGATATTTAATATCATTGTTAACTAAAAATACACTGTTAACATATAAACAAAAACTGGTTCAGACAGAATTCTCGCCTTTCATGAGGGACACCTGGGTTCAGTTGTCAGCCAATGTGCTTCATGTGTAGCCATCATTTGTCTGTCAGTGGAGACTTGTGTGGTGCTGTGATGCTGACAAATTTCAGCACTCCTTTATCAGGAGCTCTGGTGGCATAGTGCCTAAGGCACTTGACTGCTAACCAGAAGGCTGGCGGTTCAAACCCACCAGCCACTCCCTGGAAGGCAAACTAGTTCCATAGTGATACCACCTCAGAAACCCAAGGAGGGGTCACTATGAGTTTGGGCCGATGCTACAGCACGTAACAACAACAATTAGGGTAAGACAGACTAAGGAGAAAGGCCTGTCAATGTATTTCACAAAATCAGTCAATGAAAATCCTATGGAGCACAACAATCTGGTTGCTATGAGTGGGTAGATACTTCAACAATAGTGAACCATAATAATTCTTATTATAAATTAAGGAACACAATTTTTATTCTAGATGAATTTTATCTCTTTCATGCTTGTATTTCTTAACATTAATTTCATCGGTCTCTCATTATTACTTTTACCACTAAACTCAAAGTATCTCAATGAAAAGTCCCAGGAGTACTGTTTTTAAAGAAGAAAATATTACAGTATTATTTCCCACCTTTCATTTAACTGAAATCAACGTTTTGCATTCAACTAATAAGAATGTTTTAGTATGTCTTGTGTACTGTTCAGTCAATTCTGACTCACAGCAACCCTATAAGACAGAGTAGAAATGCCCCATAGTTTCCTTCTTTACAGAAGCATGTCTCCAGGCGGTGGGGTGGGTTTAAACTGCCAACCTTTTGGTTTATAGCCAAGCTGCTTAACCCATTACCCAATCAGGGGTCCTTAGTTTGTTTTTGGGAATAAAGAAAACTGAATTTTATAAAGCAAAATCCAAAACAATGACAAATTAGAATGGACCAAATACCTGGAAAAGTATTTCTCATTATTTATACTTCAACAAACTAAAATCTAAAACTTTTTTTTCTGCCTTCTAGTTATAGCCACTAAAATAAATCCAACACTACCTGCTTTCCTAGAGTCTTAATAAAGCATATGCAATGGTAAGATAAAGACTATGAACAAGATTGATAAACACTCATTAAATAATGACTTTATCACTGTGATCTCAATGTGACAGAACCTCATTTTACTCAAATTCAAAAGTACACAAATAAAATAAATCAGAGTGCTCACTGTAAGGTCAGAAAATGTTACATAGACACTTACCTACATAATGCATATTAAGAGCCAAATACTTATACTGGAAAAGAGGGTTGTTACTGAGACTACTTCTTTGGATCTGCTGGAAAAAGGAGCTGACATCCCATCTGTACAGGACATCCAGTAGCATAATGCTTGGCACCCTAAGGGCCACATTTAACACTGCTTCCAATTTCTCCTTTGCAGCCATGTTTTTTTCTCCTTGGAGCAGACCTAAAATTCAGCAGACACAATACATAAGTCAATCCAACTAGCTTTTAGATATCCTATTATGACTCTAATGGACTGTTACATACTGAACAATAAATATGTTAGAATAAAAACTTGTTAGGTTGATTATAAATTCACCACTTCAAATTTAGTTACAGATGAGTTAATTTGGTTTTAGATATTCATGAAGTAAGTTCTGTATAGTGTTCTCCACACTGATACTTTCAGTTCAATCAAATCTTATGAATCTGATTAAATGTTCAGATGACAAAACTTATTTTTTAAAAGCCCAATTAACTACAAATCCAGGCACTTAGCAACAAAGCACTAGAATACATACAACTTGCCCAATTAACTTGAAAAGTTCACGTCTATAAAACCATGTGAGACTTACATAGCTCTTTTTAAAAGAGAGCTAATTTTTAAAATGTGCTATGTGAAGAAGCCCAAGCTATTCAGTAAAAATTTGATAATTACAGATTTATTCTGCAGCATCTCAATCTTTTTCTTTACTCATCTACAACCAAATTTGAAGTAGTCAATTTATAATCAATTGTACTCATTACATAATTACAAGTAAATTCTTTGTAATGTTTGCTTGACTAATTAAATTTTAGTCTGAAATTCCCGCAATCTGATTTGAATGTAGAGTAACTCTCATCAAATTATTCTTTAACACAGATAGGCTGGCACATGGAAGAAGCAGGGCACTGTGGCTAAGTCTGCAGCCGCTATGTTGGCTTAGAAGTAGGAAAATGAAGGAAAAAATGAAGGAAATTAAAGGCAGTTATCAGGCTTTCCTGACAATTTAGTATTTAAAAGGATAATTCAATGCAATGCTGCTTTATATGATACAGCTAGAAATTAATGCAAGAAATTATTATTTTTTTTTTTAAAAAGGAGTGGGGCAAACAAAAGTGGTTAAAGTACAATTTTAAAAGCAAAGATTAATTCTAAACTGTTGGCTCTGACAACATTTTTTAAAGAATTTTGCTGAGGCTAAACACATTTCTAGCTTTGGCAGTAATTTCAGAAATTACAGGACAAATGAAAACATTTCTCTCTGAAGAAAATTATAGTGACAGATTGCTATGCTATGGTTAAATATTTGTCAGTATTTCCATTTTACTCTCTGATATTCATAGCTTCCCAGCTCAGAGAGTTAAAAGTTAAAGACAGCTCAACTTGACACACCATGAGCAAGTTTTTCAATTATCATTAATCAATCACTCCTATGCCTCAGATGTTATATATATATATATATATA